CTTTCAGACCCTAAACAAGTACTAACAGCCACTAAAAGACTAATTTTCGACGATTAGGTTGATCCATAATTGAAAAGTGATCCCACAGACTTTCCCTACATTAGTTTGAAAGTGAAATTTCTAATGAAAGTCAAAATTCATGAAATTTGCTAACAATTAAAATGTCTGCAATAACACATTGTTCCACATTAATGAACTATATAAGAAGGGATACGAAGAACCGAGATTCACACAACTTAAAAGTTATTCATGTTGCACACATACAATGTCAGCAACCCATATGTTTTTTAACATTTATTTGCTGCAAAATAAGTATTTTATTTTCACGTGGTGTTGGAAATTACTTTGCTGCACATGATAGCAAATGATTCAACAGCTGAAACTCACAAAACTGCTAACAAAATGTATGACAGGGCTGGGGTTTGGGTGGGGGTTCGTTTGTAGTGATTCATATTAGAAAAACAAAAATTTCTAAAAAGCAAAAAAAAAAATGGAAAGAAATTGTTCAATCCACTGTCATTTTAAGAATTGTGCCACGTTATCAGAAGCAACTGCTCTACAATGAAGCAGTTGGGAAGGAATCTGTTATTTGTGGGGTGACACTAAGGCAGCCTGTGTAACATTTCTTTTGCATGGTCAGGGTATAAAATGTAAATTCAATATTCTATACCAGCCATAAAAATAGATGATGAAATGTTGGAGGCAGAAGAATCTCTAACACAGATGCATGATAACAAAGCAATAAGAAAAGCAGGTAAATAGCTGTACAAGATTAACAACATACATTAATGAAGAAAAAATTCTTACTTTCCCCATTCAGACGGAGGATTCCATGCTGACAGAAGCATATTTGACTTAGCGTTGAGCAGGCAATTTCTCACAACAAAGTACTTGGTTGTGAACTTAGCAACACCAACATCCTTGTAATCCCTGTCAAAATCATATATCTGCAGCAATAAATTGCAAAATAAGCACTTCATAGAGACTTAGAGAACAAACAAATGAAGTAAATCATTTGTGTCATCATCAGTTACCACAAAAAATTAACAGTACCAAGTTTTTGGGCACAAGCATATGACATATGGCTAATACCAATATTCACAAACTGAATCATTGAAGAAATGAAAGTCGCACAGAAAATGAAGGGTTATCACTATCTCCACAATTAGTGCAAATATAGCAAGGCATGCAATGGAAACAAAGGAAGAAGAGATCCTAGTAAAGGTACTTAGCATTGCCAAGTGAGTCTAAATATAACTGATAACAATGTGGAGCATATTGACCATAAAACAATTAACAGCAACCATCCTTATTGGCAAGGGTGTAAAAACCCGGGCCTCATGCCCAATCCGTTAACTTATATACTGTCCGTTTTGGGAGGGCCTTTGCCCTCTTACCCCTCACGGATTTCTATCGCGTCCCTAGGATTCGAATCCAAAACTTGTCTTATTAGAGACTTAAGTTGACCAACTGGGCTTTTGAAACAATTCATCCTCTATGTCCAATCCGTTAACTTATGTATTGTCCGCTCTGGGAAAACTTGAGCCATTTTTACTCCTCATGAATTTCTATCGCATTATTGGAATTAGAAACACAAGACCTCTCTACATATGAGAGACTTAGGTTTTTTTTTTTGGTAACGATCCGATCTCTATTCCAAAACTGTTAACTTACGTATTGTCCACTCTGGGAGAGCCAGAACCCATTTTACCTCTCACGTACAGGTCTTGGGTTCGAATCATTTTGATACCAAGATTCAACTTAAGTCTCTTATATATAGAGGTTTTAGGTTCAAATTCTGGGGATGCGATAAAAATCTGTGAATAAGATGGGTTCAATCTCTCCCAAAGCGTATCAGTACGCAAGTTAACGGTTTTGACATAAAGACCGGTCGTTCTCTTACGTTCTATCCACATTGGGAGAGCACCCGCCCTTATTCCGGACGAATTTCTATCGCGTCCTCCAAAATTCGAGCTCAATACCTCTACCTTATGAGAGACTTAAGTTGAACCATGATATCAATTGAGGGTAAGAGGGCAAAGACCCTCCCAAAGCGGACAATACGTATTATATAATGACTTGGGCATGAGGATCGGGTCGTTACAAAAAATGTGAGCTTTTTTGTAACGACTCAACCTCTATGTCTAAACCATTAACTTATGTACCGTCCATTTTAAAAGGGCATATGCCCTATTACCCTCTCACGACTTTCCTTCGTGTCCCAAATATTCGAACTCAAGACCTTTGCATATAAGAGATTTTAAGTATAACCCTGGTACCGATTTGGCAACTAATCTCTGTATATGAGAAATTTAAGTTGAATCTTGTGGTTGTTCAATTGTGGTGCGGAAGCGTTTAGAAATTCTTGTAATAAGTATTGAAAATAAGAATTATATTGGAATAATCTTGCTTTGTATTGATATATGATTGATTGATTAAAAAGTGTACAATACCCCTATATTTATAAACCTAATTATCCCTAATCC